CAAAAAGAGACACTGCACATTGGGAATCTGTGCACAAGGTCATACCAATTTAATTGGTTGTTTTTCTGATTTTTTTCAGAAAAAATATGAAGCGACGGCGAAATAATGAAAAAAAACAAAACAGGCCAAGGCACCCCATGATAGCCGGAAATGTTACGATATGAGCCATTAAGTCAACATACCAGGCTGGTTTAGAATCAAAACAAAAATTATAGGTTTTGAACTTTTAATGAAACAAAGTTTCATTGTTACATTGAAAAATTTGAACAACTAGGAAGAAAAGGACTTTCTTCAAATGTTGGGGCCAAAATATGTCTTTCATTGAGCATTTTGCAGTTGATTCAGAACCTCAAATCTTTTTTTACGTTTGCCGCCATGCGGCGGCAAACGTAAACATACGAAAACAATGCTTCCATCAACCCTTCGTTGGGTGAACATTTTCGTTTGGGTGTTGCATTCAATGTTTATCTATTATGTTTGCACTTTTTATTGTGGGATAGACCTACCAGATCACATAAACGCAATTCTTATATGACAAAGTTATCAAAAATTAGACTTGAATTGTCTAAAAAATAATTAATCTGTACTACTGTATGCTCAAAGTGATTCTCAGAAGATGATAAAAATTGACATAATGGCCTTGATGAATGAATCGCATAAATTATGTTAATGTAGATGACAAGTAAAACATTGGGTGTTGCATTCAATGTTTATCTATTATGTTTGCACTTTTTATTGTGGGATGGACCTACCAGATCACATAAACGCAATTCTTATATGACAAAGTTATCAAAATTAGACTTGAATTGTCTAAAAATAATTGATCTGTACTACTGTATGCCCAAAGTGATTCTCAGAAGATGATAAAAATTGACATAATGGCCTTGATGAATGAATCGCATAAATTATGTTAATGTAGATGACAAGTAAAACATTGGCGCTCGCGCAACGTCTGTAATTAGTGGACAAATATTCCAACAACGATGTTTTAATTGTGGTCCACTACATTGTTGCTAAGTTTCCACACTAAAGAAACTTTTAAAGTACCCTTTTGCCGAAATATACGCCCTTGGCTGTGAAGAGAGAGAGTATCCGGCCCACCGCCATATTTACTAACCGGAAGATGTACTATTTCACTACATCGCTAGATGTCGCTGTTCATGTTGCTCTTGGAAGCCCCCGGATGTACTAGAGGGCATGTATGGGGGTGATAGTGATTACGGATTACGCAAAATTTTCGCCACCGAATACGAATTAAGTAAAATTCTCAGAGCTATTAAAACTTTATGCATTAAGGCTAATATAATATTACGAATTTCATTGATTTGGAGGGCGACTGCCAACGGATTACGAAGACTTAAATGGTCCGATTACGCCTCAGGAAAAAGGGCATGCAGGCTCCTACAACGAGCATTCCAGCTCTCAGGTACGTACCGTGCCTCAGTATTTACGCCATATAAATTAAAAAAAATATCAGCAATGTTATGAGTATTAGGCATAGAGTTACAGGAAAATAGTATAGCTAAAAGTACCATGGGCAAGGGTGATCAATCTAATTGTGCTTTGACGCGCTGTTTAACAATATTTAGTAGTCAAACTGACTGCCCCCCTCCTCTTTGGATTTACAAATGCGTCTAACAATCTCTTTTCGGTATGATCAAATTATGCAAGGCTAAGTTTCTTGCTTTAATATTAAAATTAATTACCGGCAGATGCTTGCCAATCTTAAAGTTTGTTCTCTGGAGTGTTTCTACCGTATCGCCTTAATTTTTTGTATTGTTGCATAAATTATTATTTTCTTTCTTACAAATTTTCGCTGTCAGTGGGGGGGGGGCGGTACAGGCTTTTCATTCGTCGCCAGTATTTTGTTGAAAAAACTTTGAGCTTTCAAGCTATTCGGTTCACACGTAAATCTTTCCTGGTATCAAACCTATCTCAATTTCATCAAGAAATTTGAGTGTACTCAGAAACCTAAGAATTGTTCATCAATATGGCAACATATAGAAGCTCTCTCAGTAGTATATGGGCAATTTTGAAGACTTTGATGTGTTCTTTTAGCAACGAGAACTCAATATTTATGTGCACAGTTGCAAATTTTATGTTGAAACAAATTATTTGTCATCTCTTTCAGATGTGTCCTTGGCATTTGGATACCACAAAGCAATCAACCTATGCCACCATTCACTCAATACCAGCCTGTGCCACCGTGCACTCAATACCAGCCTGTGCCACCGTGCACTCAATACTAATGTGCCATTGTGCAGAACTTGCAGATTGTATACTGGATGAGTCCATGTCTCACGAGTGAATTATTAAAACCAGAAACTGTATCTTGCCCTGAAACCAAATATTCAATAAACAATCTGAACACATACATTTAGAATCTGTGTATACTTGTGTCACATTTCTTGCATATAAGCCATTAATTGCCTTTGCCCACAATGTGTGAAGCTATACTATCAGGAAAAAAAAAGGTAACAACATTTTGAGTGAAACTAGCAGAGGTGGCATGTGATTTTCTTGTGCAAAAGTACAATGGCGGCAAACGTCAGCTTTTGTAAAAGCACTTGTTTTTTTGCAAATCAGAAAAAAATGGACAGGGCGAATCTGAGAAACAACAAATTAGATTGGTGTGGCCTAAACTCAAATCAGCTGCCTAGTGGTCCAGCATGTATTACCGGTACTGTTGCAGCTTGACTAAAGAAACTCAAACCTGAACCCTCAACACCCTCTACGCACGCTACCATGGACTGTCTTGGAAGAACTTGGGTGTGCAAATCTTCCACACTGTACTTATGTAATACAAATGTACATGTAATACGAGTAAAAAGAATAGTCTAGTACCAAACTCAAATTTTGTCCTTAGTTTAGCTTTCTGTTTCTCAAATTTACTGTTTTGAAGTCGACAATATGAAAATTTGGAAGGTTTCAACATCTGCAGGGGCCTGGGAAAACTGACATTTCTATTACGACAATCATGGATTATAGTACACTCATCTTCAATTAGCGCTAGCGGGAGCGTGATACCACAATTTGACCAAAATAAAATTGTTTGTGATGCAGAAGGACCCCCTCTAAGAAAATATCAAGTCAAACCTTTTCTGTAAGATGGGTTGAACGAAATCATTTTTTTCAGGCCTTGGCTCCTGTACTAGACAGTGGATATAGAAATAAAAGGACAACTGGTCCATATCTAACATGCTCTTCTGTGTTGTGGCAATGAACCTACCTGTCATCATATCCGGCAGATATAACGATTGTAAAATGTAGTTCCCTGCAGTCACGCCTGTTGAAAAGCTAATTGTAAAAAAAAAGAATTTGGAGATCTCATACCTCCATGAAATATACTAATTTTTGTAAATGTTTTTTATGTGTCTCATTGACTATGGAAGTAAGGTCGTAATTACCATATCCTAGTTTGATTTATGGTTTTCTAAATTCAAATTGCAATATTTTGTGTATAAAATCCTCTCCTTTGTCAATACTTTATTCCAACATGTCATAATTATGCAAATAGCCTCTACATTAACACAATATATGCATAGTGATGTAACTTTATGTAACTTACACGTCATGACACAAGGTTCCCAATCCCCATCATTCACCAATATGGAATTGCAGAATTTTCACAGTAATTATGAAAGTGAGGCCATTATTTGCATAATTGGTATCTGTTGATGTTCCACTTCCCATAAATTAAATAGATAATAGATTACACCTATAAAGTACTGCTAAATAAAACAGTCATTATTTCCTCCTTAATTATGCAAATTAAGTCTTCATTTGCATGATTTGCATTGAATTATGTACATGTCTCTCTCAGCTACCTACATACCAAAAATGAATAAATACATATCTGGACTTAACGTTTAAACGATTTCGCCAAAAAGTCCCCAGGCCTGCAAATCCAGAACAAGCAGTCGTAGGCGACAATCCTCCGTGAAGATTTTGCAGATTAGGAACAGTATCCCCTGAGCATGCCGCGCACCATGTCCTGCCACGTCCCTTGCTGCTTGACCCACGGGATCAAAACGGCCTCGCCTCGCGGCACGACCCTGGCTTCTACCCCGAGCGCGACCTTGGCCATTTGCAGTTCCCGGCCAATGTCATGTTCCCCGCATTCAGGTCCTGCGCGAGGTCGAGCTCCCCTTCTGCGGCCACGATCCTGTTCTTCCTCGTAATCGCCGTCAAGTTTCACTACTCTCTGTGGAATCCTCATCTGACGTGGGGTATTCACTGCCAGAATCGGCAGTTGCAACGTCTTCCAACACTTGTCCAATCGTATACATCGCCATTTCGACGATAACACTACGAATCCCCCGCTAAAAACTCAAACAAATAACATTACATAATGTTGACCTCTGACCTCCCCACACTTGCCCCGCCTGCAAGCTACTTCCGGGTGCAACAGCCGGGCGAAAACACTTCCACAACATTATAGGGATGTTTCTAAAGTATGCATTTACTTCGATATAGAAACTGAAATTAAATATACTTGCATCATCACGGACATAATGGCACACCACATGCCACATTACACAGAAATGGAACGTACAGAACAAGTACAGAACAATGCGTTTTGGCTGTGAACATCTTAAAGACCACTTATCGACCCCTCCTTACATCTGCCTGAAGTTTGGACCCCCCCCCCCGCTATTCCAAACGTTTTTTTTCTGGACCATTCCAATTTGCCTCATAATTGTAGGGATGCATCTGAAATATTACATTGCCTGCGAAAACAGCAACGGCAAAAATACACATTCGTGCATCATCACGGGCATGCCCGCAGACAGCGTATAAAGTTACATGCCAATTACACAAAGGGAACCCCCTGTTCTAGCTGCGAACACGAAAAAACGGCTGTTCACAACACTTCGTCTGGAGGTCCTGACCTCCTTCACGGAGTAACAAGCTGCTAGGGGAACAAAACCCCACACCACTTAGGCCACACCAATTTAATTTCTTGGTTAACGGATTTTTCTAGAAAAATAATGGAGCGGGCGGGCGAAAAAAAAAAAATAAAAGCAGGCCTAGGCATCCTACTATGGCCCAAAATGGTACGATAGGAGCCATGAAGTCAACACACCAGGCTGGTTCAAAATTTAAACAATGAATTTTGAACTTTTAATGATACCACTGCATTGAAAGATGGAATGACTGTAACGAGTAGTAAGAAAAGGACTGTTTTCAACTGTTCAGGGCAAAAGATGAGCATTTTGCAGTTGATTCTGAATTTTTATTTTTATTTGCAAATCAGAAAAAAATGAAGCGGCGAATCCGTTAACCAAGAAATTACATTGGTGTGGCCTTAGGAGAGACTATCTGCCACCAAAAACTCATGACCGTAGCATGTTCAGGACAAAAGATACATAAACCGGAAGTTCTGCTGCAGTACCAAGGTCAGCCACCAGGAGACCCCTATTTGACCTTGACCTTCGTTTTTCCAAGACTAACCAACACATCAAATATCATCACAGTCCATAAAGGCGTTCTGAAGTTATGCTGACCACAAGTTGCGGAAACACGCACACACACACACAGACACGCCAAAAACAAAACCTCCATTTTTCATGGAGGTAAAAAAAACAAGTCCAGACCTGAGATTGGTGGCTTCATTGTGGAAACAAATATTCAGCTTAGTCTATAGAGGAGTCAATGATGGCATCATATAGCATAGCTCTGTCCTCTGGGCCTGGCAGTAGCCAACTATTCACTGTTGCAAGGGAAGATTAAATGCTACTTTTTGTAAATTGTAAAATGCTGTTACTCACGGTGGGTTAGAAAAACCTCTTGGGTTTGTTGTATATGTATTTCGTCAAATTGAATGTTCCTCTCTTTCTCAGATACATTACATTGAGTAATCCTATCATGAAATGCAGATTTATAGACTGAAGTTCATTTCAAACCCTACCTATCAACCAAACATGAAGACAAAATCTAAAAATGTAAGCCTTTTCAAGTAGTTAGCACATTGCCAGATAGGCTGACACACAGACACAGACACACACATACATATAGTACACAGACACACACACATACACAGACACACACACACACACACAGACACACACACATACATATACACAGACACACAGACATACACAAAGACACACACACCACTGCTAGAAGAAATCATTATGGTAAAAGTAACTGCAAAATATTCACCATTCAATGTGCAATAATGGGTACAGCACACACCAATTAATGCCAGTTAGCTTCCTATCACCTGTTGCAGTCCTCGTCTACTATTTATTCAGTGAGTATGAGAATGCAGACTGTCATCTTTGTCAGTGAAGCTTAGGACTGTCCAGACTTAAAACACACCTTTGAGGTAGTGAGAGACATACCTCATGTGAAAATGTCTGTTATTGTTTCTATAAAAACTTACAGTGGATTCTTTCAATTCCATCATGTGACTTTATTTTCATTGTTAGTCATACTTTAAGTAAGCACAATTTAAGCTCCCCTCATTTGAACATGATATTTTCACAGTCCTAGAATGAGTTGTACTACAGGTACATTGTATATCCACAGGGGTTTTTCTTGAAAAATTTAGCACGAGGGAGCAGATGGCAAGCATTGCAAGGAACGAAGCGACCAAGGGGGGATTTTTAATAAGAGTAACACAGTTTGTAATGCTAGAATAGTGTTGTATTGCTTTTACATCTTTACTGGAAAAAGATCTTTTTGAGAAAGACTAAATGGTGTTAAGTAGCCACTTAGGGTTCAATCTGAAAATTGATATGAAGGAGCTGGTTGGTTACATGAGGGAGCAGCTCCCTTATTCCCCTATTTAGAAAAACCCCTGTATCTAAGTTCTATCCAAGTGTTGTAGACTGTCTGGTTCAGGGTGATGTTGAGGGTTGTTTGTGCAGCATGTCCAGCTGGTCCTGGTACTCTGTGTACAGGCGCTGCAGCCGCAGGTTACTGCCCACCTCCTGCAGGACTTCACTCAACACCGCTCGCTTACTCACACCCTGCACCGGACAGACAAGCCACCGGTCAAACATGGTTCAACACCGTCTCATGTCTAGAACTAACTTTATTATGCATTATGTCACACAGACCTATTTTCATTGGGTTAAAAATGTGTA